ATGCTTTATGTACTGCTGGGTGTCTCGTCCTATCATATTATACGGATTTATATTTGCATGAATAATCTCAATCTGCAAAGTAACTGGTAACTAAAGCTATCAAATGAATGTAGTGGAATAAAAATAACAATATTTGTCTCCAAATGTAGTGGTTAAATAGAAGCAGAACGCAGAATAAAATGGAAATAGTCTACTACAAATACTTCAAAATTGTACTTCAGTACAGTGCTCACAGTGTAGATGCACGTTATTACATTCCACCACTGCTGGAGAGCACCAAATGCTATCTAGCTGGTGACTGATTATAAAATCATCTTTTCCCCATCATCTCCTCAATATGTTCACAAACACAGAAAAATAACCCCTCTGATCACCCGTTGCTATAGCAACTCCAGCTTGAGCGCTGTGATGCTACAAGGCCATGGATGTCGTTGTGATATCAGGCGTTTGCAGTCAAACAGCACAGTCTGTCTGTGGCCAAAAGTACTGGGAAGACTACGGAAAAAAAAAAACATCGGGACAATGGTTGTGGACAGCAAATCATCAGAGAGACAAAGTTTTCAGGTAAAAAGATAAACAGCATGTATACACCATGTGACGTGAGTGTTGCAGGATGTGTGCATTAGTCAGATCAGAGTCTCGTGTCAATAAGAGCCATATGTCGACGCTCTGTGGCAGAACAGAGAGGAGATAAAACACATATTACAGCCAACCCTGGCAGCAAGAACTCATCATGATTCTGGAGCTTGGTGTCAATGAATTGATAACTAACTCTATCCTCTACTGTACCTCTAAGACCATGTGCCACAGAGAGTGCCCTTCAGTCACAATCAACCGCAGAGGAAGAAGTAATCAGTGAAGTCGCAGGTTGTCGATGGTACACTTGAGACACGATGAGGAACCGTGGGTCAGCCCTGAAGAACACGACATCCTGGTGACAGATCCCCAGCTGTCGCTTCTGTCCCAGATGACAGCTGAGTCGACGTTGTGCAATAACTACGGCTCGCTCCATTACATCACTGATATTGTCGTGACAGGACACCAAGTGACTGACTGTAAGTGTTGAGCACATCAGACATTGCTGAACACTTTTCAGTTGTTCCCGAGCACTTCAGCATAATCTAATCCTGTCTCGTTTCACACTTGTTAATATTCTGCCAGTCTGTTGTATATTCAAGCTTGTCTTGTGGACAGGCAGTACTGAGTGCAGTGCATTATCATAAACCTCATATAAATGACATTGTCACATCAAACATATATTCCTTTTGTTTTTTGAATCCTTCAATGTCAGCTCTTTCTATCATTGTGAAGCAGTATTCACCAAGCTCTGGACTGTTCACCCACTAAAAGGGAACATCAGCTGACAGGTTAGTTTTACACTACTGATTATGTGGTGTTGCAGTAGCAATCAGCATAAACTGCTCTGATGTATGCAAACAAATCAAAGTATGACGGTAAAGTTACTAAGCTCTCTTCGAACAGGTGAACTCAGTTGCAACTTTTGTCAAAGACTCTCTCTCCAAATTAAGACTCAATCATCAGTATTTAAAGAAACAGTTCAACAAAAGCTCTCACGCTTTCTAGCTGAAAGTAAGCTGAAAAAATTGACACACAGACCTGGGGAATTCATTCCAAGATTCAAATGGACCTGATAGTTCCCCCTATGTCAGCTTGGGTTTTCTCTGGGTACTCCAGCTTCCTCCCACAGTCCAAGGACATGTAGGTTAACTGGTGAATCTAAAATGGCCGTAGGTGTAAATGTGAGCGTGAATGGTTGTCTGTCTCTATGTGTCAGTCCTGACAAAGGTGTACAACGCCTCTCGCCCACTGTCAGCTGGGATAGAATCCAACCCCTAATAGGAAAAGCGGTTATGGAAAATTAATAAACAAATGAACAAGATAATACAGACCTGGTGCATGTCCAAGACCTCGATCTATTTTATGAACCTGACAAACCTGATTGCTACTAAAAAAGCTTTTCTACTGCTAAAATCATTTCAGACAGAAAATAATGTTTTTACCCATCTTACTCTGTGTAATGTTAAAAAAAAATGTCTGTTTTTATTTTATTTTATTGTCACTTATTTTGTTGTTGTTGTGTGAGCTGCTGTAATGCTTTCATTCTCCCAGGTTCGGAGATCAATAAACTGAGCTGACTGTCTCCTCCTCTCCTCCTTTTTGAGTTTTCTGGTAACTTCTTTTTCACCTCAGTAAAGAAGGGATCCACCTTTCCTTCGCCCTGCCTCCAGTTTGGTGGTGCTACTGTGCAACACTTTTTCTCCTCACTTTTGCCCTTGTAATTTGACCCTAAGTCAGCTTCATCATCATGGAAGTTATGCATATACAGTAGTACTTATGTGTTTATATCATGTCAGCGCAGATCACTGGTCTTGTTGGATCCACTCAGGTATCACCAGCCCATTCTCATTGCTGAATTGTCAAATACCGCCGCTTTGTCAGTGATTTTAGTGTCAGACACCAATGCAAAAAGGCACCTTTTGCAGCGGTATGATACAGCGCCGGGCGGTGTGTCATACTGCCGCAAAAGTTGTGGAAAGTCCTGGAAAGAGCTGGAATGTACTTATAGGATGGGTGGGAGAGTAGGTGATGTCATGACCTAGGGTCCGTACTGTCATTACATATGAAGCCACTGCCAGTAGCCGGTTAGCTTACCTAATCATCCTGGAAGCTGTGGGAAAAAGCTTGGCTCTGTAAAGACTGGTTTTACACTGGTTTTAAACTGGTTTCCAGTATGATAAGCTGAGCTAACCAGCTACTGTCTGTAGTTTCATATTTAGTGAAAAAGCATAAGAGTGGTATTAATCTTTTTGTCTAACTTTCAGCAAGAAAACAAAACATATTTGCAAAAGTTGAAGAACTCCTTCAAGCCCCTCAAGTAAAAAAAAAATGCGAAGACCTGCACTGTTTATCATAACTCAGCCACCAAAAGTTGGAAAACTAGTTCCCTGAACATATTTCACTGCCTTTTAGAGATGAGCAGCCCCGCTGTGCTTCGCTGCTCTTCTACCACTCCATCATGTGGAGTGACCAAGCCTGGCAAGCACATCGTGAATAGCCGCAGAAGCCTGATCCCGACTGGCAGGAGCTGTAAATGACCAGTATGGCAGCTTGGCCTCTCTCAGTGGTTGCAGATGGCACCCAGTGACACCGGGGTCAAAGCTTTGTCTGTGTCCCACCAAAAATACTCGTCCCAGGTGGGAGGCTCCATCTTCACCTGCCTCAGCAGATTTCAGCACATGTGGGTGAGGAGGCAGCAGTGTTCGGAGGAGGAGTGTTTGCTGGACGTGATGAAACAGAGACAGCTTTTACCTCTGCGCTGTTTGATGCTCAACAGGGACAAAATTTTGAATAAAAAATTAGCAATAATCATTAGAAAACCTGTTTCCAGTTTCTCTCATAACAACTGGATTCTTTTGACCTTTGATTTCATCGTTCTGAACATATGTGGGGCATCGTACAGTATCTGTCACAATGCGGAATAAACCATCTGCTCCCCACTGTCTCAATCCATGAGCATCCACTGTTTTCACTTCTTAGTTTTATCTATATGCTTCTCCTTATGCTTCATTTATGATGTGTGTGGACATGTGGCCCCTTGAGGGTTTGGATAAATCGCAGAATGTTAGAGCGTGATTTCATCTCCAAGAACAGAGGCAAGCTGCCCGTGCGTGATTTAAAGGGTTGATTCACCAAAACTACAGAAAAACATATTTCTCACATACTGCTAGGATATTCGCCATGCTGATTTTGGTTTTATTTGCGCAGCGCTGAGATATCCATCACTGAGATTTCTTCTGCCACAACAGCACAGGCTGTAACTGGACCATTTCCTCTGAGAAAATAGTACCTATAAAAACAGTTGACAGCTTGGTCTATGTATTATCCAGACTAACATTTCAGACACCTTTTCTGGAAGGAGATGTTGCAGCTGATTTCTTAAAATACATTTTTCCAAAGCTGCAAGCACCAAGTCAGGGTGATCTGTCTCATCAGTCTTACAGGAAACAGTCCTACAAACACATTTCTGCATTCATCTAAAACTCATAAACAGATCAGCTCGAGGAAACAAGCTTACAAAGATGATTGCATTGGCCAATTAGATAAATGAAGATAAATTAATTCTTCAGGTGCAGCCTAGAGAGCAGCAGCATATGATTGGCCAGCTGCTTTTTGGCAGTTGTCTGGTTCTGCAAACACATTGGCTAACAGCGTCACCTTGGCCTGAAAAATACCAACTAATGTTCCTGCCCTCCTCTTTACCTCCCCATTTTGCAAACCTCGTTTGCCTTTTTTAATGGAACATGTTATTGCACTCCCTTCATTCTTGTTATGAATAAGTGTTACTGTTACTGCATATTGTGAGAGGGAAAAATAGGGCACTGTAACAGCTCTGCCAGCGCCAGTCTTGTGTTGAGCTGCTTTTGGTCAACCTCCAGAGCTGCTTTTATGTCCACTTGAAGCAGGCTACAGTGGAATGAGTCTATATAATTGCAGGCATGTTAATTAAAACTAAACAAAACATTTTTTCTTAATTATATAGAGCCATATGTGCAAAGTTGCAGTGCAAGGTGCTTTACAGTACAACAATACAATAAAAATACAATAAAGCAGTGCAGGGGATAAAAGGCAAGGTCATAATAGAGAGGAGCAGATTAAAAATGGATTAAGATAAGGAAGTATTTTAAGATTGTGATGCCCTCAGCTCTTACTACAGGCAAATTGTTATGTCCAATTTGTGCAAACATTAATATTATACAATATTTTTCCTTTAAGGTTTGAGTCTTACAATTTGATTCATAGTGCGAACAACCTCTAAACTATATTTTTGCCGCACGGGTTGAAATGGTGGGTATAAAGTGACGGTGAGCGCAGGTGCATCCTCCACTATATGCTGGTTCCTCACTCAGAGCCCACAGGCTGCACATCGCACGCTGCTTGTGTACAGTATAAAATACGGTGCATGTTGAGGACGTGAGGATTTGAACGCGCTCAGTTTGTCTCTGACCCTTCTCCTCCTGTGTGCGCCGTCCTATCCGCTGTGCGCTCCGGACACTAAACTCCCTCCCCTCCCTCGCCTCTCCTCCTCACCGCGCAGAGCTCGACGCGCACAGGCACAACAGATGGTACAGTACTACAGGCTGCAGGCGCGCAAGAATTTCATGTAGAAGTACTTTTATTTCTCCAAACTTCACAGGAACGTTTAGCTTCACAGGAGTAGGGGGGGTTCTCCGAGGACAAACTCGACTTTGACAGTCACTGGATCCTACGTTTAGAGGCGGAATTTGGTGCCAAGGTAAGTTGTGATGTTTTCTGAATAGACGATCAGATTTCGGAATGAACTCAAAGCAGAATAAAACCTAAACAAAAGCACAAAGTGCGATCACTTGAAATGTATTTTCTCCGTTATCGATGTATCTAAATCAATTTATAACACTAACTATGTCAATTTAAGTTTGTTACATAATATTTGTACTGAATGAAGAACAATGGATTGATGAAATAGCGCTTAGGCGTCAATTAACCCACCATTGGATGTAATGCCCTGGACAAACATCTGAATGGAATTTACACCATTTGAAAAATCTGTTTTTAGATGTCGTTGCGTTACAGATTTTCACTCTATTGCAACAAAATGTTCTAAAACTAATTTAAAAATACCCATAAAAGAAAAAATGAAATAAAACTGAGAGTAATTGACACCAGTGAGATGCTTTTTGGCAAACTTTACAGCTGCAGCATTAATATGGTCATGAATTCAGGATGAATATAAAACGTCAGACCTCTTCATTATCCTGACTTCTTACAGCAGAATAAGTCCTATAGTTATTTCAGGAGTTCAGTGGCTCCACAGGCACACATCTGTGTAGATGCTGATGTTGCAGCTCTGTGGGGATGCTGCTGATGCCACAACATTCAAACGCACAAGGATCATTTTTAGTGACTTATGCTGAGCCTCCCACAGGGCCAACTTTTATTGTGAAAAACCGTACAGACACCACCATGTGAAAGGTCAGAGATGTTCTCTCGCATTGTCTATATGGTGGTTTTTCATGTCTTGTGAGAAGTGGCTGGGGTTAAAGATGGCTTAAAACAGGGCTACCTCAGGCGTGTTAGTATTACTCAACAGTGGCTGATGATACATTTCCTCTAAATATGAATGCAAGAAATCTAATTATGACTTTTACAAAAAAAATGAGTCCTATTCTCATTCTGCTGAAATGTGTAATGAGATAAAAAAAAAAACAAAAAAAACATTTTTTGAGGTTAATGCTTATCAAATAACCAACCACATACAAAAATGTAATTTTTTGTTATGCAAAACACAAGCACTGATGACCTTTGTAGACATTAAAATTAATTAGCTTTTTGGAAATGTGCCATAATTTCTGTTTTGCATTCTGCAAAGGCTCCAGTTCATGCTACCATCAGCATGCAGTGAACAGATAAGGTTTTACTGTAACAGCCTGTGAGACACTGACACTAATCTCTTTGAACTCTCGTATGCTCCCTTCCTCAGAAGAACATTAGAGAGCAGACACTCTGACATTTAGGATTTAATAAGACTTAGAATGATCAAGTCTCAATCTGCCTCTTGACATTCATTATTATTAATCAGCTGTTTAGACAGAACTTCAGGTCTGTACCTTTGGCAGTCTAGTAAACCAGCTGAGCCACACACTCAGATTTACACAGGAGAAAAAACCCTATTGTGGCAGCATTTCTGTCAGAGGTTAATGCCAGTCATCCATATGTCACATCCTAAAGGCTCTATAAGATGGGGGATGTGAACTGGGTCACCAGTGAGCTGTATGTAATGATTTTTTCAGTCCAAGAAGAGGTCCAGACCTGCGGTGGACCCCAGGTGGCCCCGTGGCAGCAGCAGCCACAGGGAAGCGCAGCACATTACCACATAGCCTTGCAATTTGCACACAATTAGATCTCCAGGGAGGGACTCTCAAACTTTGTGTTGCATCTGTTCTTGGTTCTGTGTGAGCTGCTGGCACGATAGAGAACTGTGGAGATGTGAGGATTGCTTTGAAAATGCGTCTAGATGTGCTGATAGTGGTGAAATAATTATGGTGAAGGTGATGTTTTAAATGAATGGGAAAAACTGGGAGGACAGTGGAGTAGGTTCTGCTGTATAAATAGCTGCGGGATCAATTTCTTGAAGTCTGCTCATTCAGATCTATCCTTTCTCTAGAAGTACTGCACCAAATACAATCCAATATACAATGTTTTTATTTCTTTCTGCTATTACAAGTCCTGTGGTTCATGTTGTACTGTGTATATGTATCCTTTGTATCTCAGATATTGCACATATATTTTCTTTTTCCTTGCATGTGGCTTTATTTCTGCTCATTAAAATTTTTATGGGACCTTTGAGAGTCCTCAGCCACTAATGTTCCTGTGCAGGAGCAACACGACAAACTAACTTTACCATGTGTGCTCTTACATGGTCAAGAGGTGTACTACGCTGCGTACTTGTACTAGATTGAAACCCACACTGAGCAGCAATATTGGGGCATAAATTGGTATATGCTGCAGCACAGATATGTGAAGGGCCAGTGAGATTATCCAATATCCGAGGTACTCTACTTTTCATTTGTCAAAAACACTCTAACAAGCGCAGACTGTGCATCCAGTGATGCTGTTTGTTTGCCTAACTTTAATGTGCGAGCCTGAGTGGGCAGGGTCATTTTCTCTTTGGAGAGTGAAGTGCACATTTTGACACTAAAGCACAGGAATTGTCGCTGGGAGGAGGCACTGCTGCTGACATTATTGGAGTGCCAGAGATGCTCCCAATGTGATATTTCATTATATTGTCGCCAGAGTTGTGAGAAAATAAGAATAGCGGGCCTCTGAGTATGAGTGAGGGACCTGTATTATACAAGGGACTGGAGTTTAATGACTTAAGTCAGAGACAACATCCCTCAAGTGTGGAAGGGTTAGATCTAAAGTAATAAGATAGGACTGGCTCTCTTTATGAGAACTGTAGTATGTGGACTGCAAGTGTAGTCTCTCGCTTTGAAGAGAAGAATCAAAAGCTTGTGGATACTCCGCCACTGCAGAGGCTGACTGTTGTATTGACTTAACATAACCCTCATAAATACAGATTTTTGCCATATAAACTGTAGATTTTTTATGACTCAAACAGCCGAACATATAAAATGCTACACTGAAGCGCAGAGGAAATTGAATAACGTGGTACATGCTTACTCATTTCCAAACAGCCTGCAGATGTACTCTGTTTCATAATTATGATGTCATGCAAATGTGAATATGTTGCCTTAAAGTGGAAATTGTTTTGTCTTAATGAAGTTAATGTTGATTGCACAGTGTAATGGCTATAGAATATGAATACAACAGCATTTAGATTGGTTCTCCATGAGCAGTATTTGTTAATTTGTAATGGGGAGAGGGGGGGCAGCTCATATTATGACACATAGTATTTTTGAACTGCCCATGGGAAGGATGATCATGTAAGAGCCCGTCCATTCTTGATGAAAAGCTCTGTTTTCACTGTCTACTTCACTCTCTTCAGGACACGCCATGAGAAATTACTGTGCTCAGACTCTTATTTCTTGACTGCTGTCTCTCGTCTCGTCCCTCCCTTGTGTGAATATCTCATATTCATTTCGCAGTATTGGCTCCTTTGAGTTGCTACATGTAAATGTATCGAACATTTTGAGTTTTGATACTTTTTGGAAAAAATACGGCATCAGTTTCTCAGTGACATTCCATCAAAGTATATTACTAGTGTAATGTAAAAGTTTACATTAATAAAGATAAAATATTCATTTTCATTTCTCGGCGCTGATACACCATCCCACTTGTGTGTCGGTAGGCAATGTAAGCTCAATATGATGTTACAAAAATGTCACAGACAAACAATCTGTCGCTGTTGAGGAGAAGGTAGACTTTCAGTTACCACCGCAGCCTTGTGATGCATTCATGTGGTGTCAGAATAATATGAAGAATATAAGGTCCACATCAAATTCCATAGCTCACCTTTGCCCTTTTATATCACCATGTTTTTTAATGCTCTGAGCAATAAAACAACACATCTCCTTCGTAGCATCCACGTTGTTTCCAAATCTCAACTTAGGGTGCTTTCACACCTGCCCTGTTTGGTTCGGTTCAATCGAACTCAAATTCGTTTGCTCCCTAAGTGCGGTTCGTTTGGGCAGGCATGAATGCAGCAATCGCACTCGGGTGCGCCCGAAAACAACTGGACTGAGACCTTCTCGAAGAGGTGGTTTCAGTCCCGTTACAACCAAACTCTGGTGCTTTTCATTTGTGGTGAGAACGTTTTCCAACCTCAATCTGAACCAACTGCATTTGCATTAATCATTGTTTGAGTTAAACAAGCATGAGCATGTTACAGTCCTGGAGGATTATTAATGTGCGCCTCCCCCTGTGCTGCCTTAATATGCACATTCAGCACATCCAATGCATCAAAACATTGTTTTTCTAGTTGGAGCCGCACCTCGTTTTCACACTGTATGGTTTGCCTTAAATGCAAGCAATATAGTCCACGATGACCAGCACTAAAGTCAGCCTGCATAGTTGTCCCTCCATTATGACATTAGAGAGAGTCGCATTCATCTTGCAAGTGTACTCTTCTTCAACGTTTTGTTTACTTCCTGGATTTTTCCCACATGGAAATTCTGACCAATCAAGAGCAGCTTTCTCGTGCAAGGCATTTGATCTGGTCAGCTTGTAAATTCTGCCGTGAGAACACGAACCAACTCTCGGCAATTACACAACTTTATAATAAAATTCATCCCTGATTCGGACCAAAGCAAGGCAACTCTAGGTCTGAAAGCACTCTTAAAGCCCCTAAACACACCAAAGTTAGAACAACCGCTATCTGAGGAGCATGTGAATGCTGCATTGACCTTGGCTGGCAGAGGTCTCAACTCAAACTGGGATTCATGAGCACTTGGACACTTGACAGGCTGACCTGATACTTACTGGGTGCTAAAAAGAGTCATTCAAAAACATTTGCTCGTTCATATTTGCCCATCACCTCTTATCACGCCTCAGACTGCCACCAGTTACAATCTCCTTGGAGAATGAAGGCTCAATTTGCATCACAAAGGAAGTGCATCAACCATTGCGCAACAGTGCAAAGAGGATAGGACTTTTATTTTTCCTGGTAGCTGTCAGTAGCTATTCCCAGTTATCAAATAGTATCAATAAAGTTATTTGCAGTTTCTATGCCCAGTAGTGGGCATGTTGAAGTAACTTGGAAAACAAAATACAAAGTGTTGTTGGTAGTTTCTAGGCGAT